CAACATAAAAAGAATACAAAATCCTACAATATCATCAAACAACCATTGAGTTCAAACAGTGTCTCAATTATTTTCTCTCTCAGAAAATAGTTGAATTTGATATTGAATATCTCTTCTTGGTCTTCCATTCTGATACTAACTGAGTGGCGCCCCTCTGGTACCTCAACAAAATTCGAATCCATGATCATCGCTCGACAGACGAAAAACTGCCTGTGCCTTGCTAATGTAACCTTTTGGCCTTCCTATATTTTGTACCATCTGAGATAAAGTGTCTGAAGTAGGTTTCAATTGGTTTCCGCGGATGAGACAGTATGTAGAGAAATATATCTCAAGCTGCATTCCCTGCATGTACAACAAGAAAGTGAGTCGTGAGAAAGGAGAGTTTCTGCACCCGATGAAATTGGAACCTGTACCTATGAAAAGGAAACTCACACTTATTGGTTATCATAAATTGATTTACCAAGTACGCGTTCTTGAGAGCGGTGAAAACTACGAAGGCAAAACTGGTTTGTGAATTCATGGAGGAAGTAGCTTGATACTTCTGATATCCCAAAGTACTTGTCTCTGACCGACTACACGTTGAACGAGTTTGAAGCCTACTGCAATACGCATCATGTCAAACATGTGATGAGCCACACCTAGGTCGAACGGACAAGTGGAATTGTTCGATAGGGCTATAAAGAATGCTATAATGACAATGTCTCCGGAAGCAAGCAGCCATCAACACTGCTATGAATAGCACCACTCGAAAATCACCTTGTGAGGTAATTTATGGTTACACACCCAGGTTGGAGAAAAATCAATGTCTGAAAGATGAACTCCAGGACATCTCAAGAAAGATCGACTCTTGTGTACAATTGAGAAGCGAAGTTTTGAATACAATTTCTCAGTAATTTAATTCACGAGAGAAGCGGAAACAATATTTTGGGGTAGCACGAGAGTACAAAGTCGGAGATCTAGTTTTCATTGAAATATATGAAGGTGAGCCTGGAACAAGGAAGAAAATGACGCCTCCTTTCAGTGGATCAATTGTAGTGAAGAAGGTACTACCTAATGACCGTCACGTGGTGGTCGATATGAAAGGCTTGTGGATAGTAAAGGGAGCAAAATATAAGAATGTCATTGCAGTGGATCGCATGACACCGTCGGTAGAAAAAGGTGGATTATCAGATATAACTGACATTGAAAGTGACGGAGACAGAGATATTCCACTTTCCGATCCAGATCACCAATGCAGTGGTAGTAACGATAGCCTCGAGGCGGGGCATACACAGGATGGTCGACTGTAACAGGTTTCATTTGTTCACCCTGGAACCATCAGTCGATGACGGAAAGATATTGATATCGGGCTATGATCGGGGCCGTAGGCAGAAAATTCGGCATTCCATGTTAGAATAGTAGTGAACGTGTTCGCGTTATTTTTACATAATATTGAAATTGTTGGCATATTGCATTTGTATCAAGTGTTACCAGAGATTATTGTTGGTGTTGTTGTGCTTTAAATTATCGGAAATTTGAATTGAAAAAGAGAATTGTGTGGAAAAAGTTCAGTACCTAGCATATTATAATATTGAGGGTTATTGTTCAATAGGAACAACTATTATCAACAGAGTAGTCTTGATGCACATATCTGAGAGGTGTTGCCTTGATATGTTGAGAAGGAAAAGCCCTTTTATTTCAATAGTATGTGGATTTCGCAGGTTCGAGAGATAATTCCTTGATCTGCGAATAGAAAAATTGTATATTTATGTGCAGGGTTGGTTGCATATTCGGGAGGTGTTTCCTTGATATGCGTGGGGTAGCATTGTACGACTATGGTGGGTCGAAAATATGCCGTAGGCTGCATACGTCAATGTCAGAACAGGAACATAACTAAGTATTCGTACTTGTACGGTTGAATATCATTGATGATGATCATCATAAACCTTTTTGTACCTATTATGAGACTGATTGTTACACTTCGTTTTATTCCTAACGAAAATCCTGCATAAAGCAAATCTATTTAACATTGTTTACGTACGCAACCTTGTATTAGTCTGTCCCTCCGCTCATCAATTCGTGGAATTAGGTAGGTAGAGATACCGTGGCCGTGTTATCGTTGGTAGGTGAACTGGTCCAACACATTTTGTTGTATTTGGCTGAACTATTTAGTTATGATTCTTCGTTTATGAGGTACTGTCAGTACACGATATCTTACCTGGGCGAGGCCTGCCTGACTGTTGATCTCCGTGAATTGTAGCATAGGTGGTGAATCTTGACCATACTTGAATTGTGAGATCTTTTATAGACAGTCATTCTACAATTTCATTTCCATTGCGATCATTGTTTTGTTTACATCGAAATAATGTTTAATTAACCAATATTGTCAAAGGTGTCACCTGGCGATGACTGACAAGTGAGTGTTATTTGCGAGCTAATCTTCTTTTGTTTACGTATGAACACTTCTTCTCTATCTTAAGCCGCTGTCAGAAGAGGTTATTGACGGTAGTTCGGTTATATTGTTTTTGTAAAATGGGGTCTAGTTCAGACAATAATTATGATTGAAGGGTTTTGTTCGACTCACAACCCCTTTAGTTTGTTATTCGATTACTATTTGGAATATTCGGTATGGTGTACTCATGGGTTGTGTCCCATCATGTCAGCGGCTCTGGCCGAGGAAGAAGATTCCTTACGTAATTCTGACGCCTTCTTCGACCTTCGACATCGGCGCAGGTCCGAATTCGAGAATATTCTAGATTTTTCTGGAATTAATTGATGCGCATCAGGTTGGCTGTGGCGCAATAATATCCGCTTCTGTGCTGTGCTCGGAAGTGTAGTCTGGCGAAAGTCAGGCCATTTTCCTTTTTCAAAAAAAAAATGTGGTGTAAAGCCATTTAGGCTCAAGTGTTGTGTTGGTGGTCGGGATGGCTCCCACCAACAAGGCTGATTGCCATATTAGGATGGCAAGAAAAACATTCTTCCGGCGGGAGGACAGCCCACTGAAACCGGCGAGACGATCCGGATTCATTTTGGGAACTTTGAGTGGACCACCTCGTGGTACAAGTAAGCCTGAGATTCGGTTCTTTGTAAATAAGTTACTTATAGTAGTAATTTTTCCAATAGTGTTGGGATTAGTTGATCAAGGATCTCTATTTTCTGGATACCTTTGTTGGTTCTGGTACCAGACCTCATTTTCGAGGGATTTGTGGCTGAAGAACACGAGGCCGGCGTCACTCATCAACTTCATCAAACCCGCCCATCATCAAAGGTATGAGGTTTTGTCTGATCTTTTCGAGTGCTATACATGTTCTCTTTAGGGTTTTTCGTCCCAGTCCCTGGGTACTACCTCTACCAAGAGGCCATAGAGCTGTAGGGGCTCTAATCTGTGGCTGATCAGATCCACAGCCTTCTGTACCTCGCACCCTGAGGATTTACCCTGTAGCACCCCTGCACTTCTTCACACCTATGTTCGGCACATCTTCACATCAACGTCTGCACATCTTTACACCTACGTCTGCACATCTTTACACCTACGTCTGCACATCTTTACACCTACGTTCTTCACCCTGGACATCTGTATGCTGCACCCTGTACACAACTACCCTGCATATTTAGGACTGTGCACCTGTAGTTCTGCTTCCTGCTGGTGAGTTCGTTCCATTTTTTTTGTATTGGATAACTGTCACCAAGTATTACTACCTATCAGCCTAGTAAAAAGTTGATTCAGTCCTGAGGGGTTAATATCATATAAGCTTTGACCCATTCATAGTTTACTACCATATTTTGTTATCTTTTGTCTGATTTTCACACCTGGAAACCAATGTGCACTGCGGTATTATCACCTATATTTCACACATGAATTTTATATAATTGTAGGCTGTTTTGGAGAGTTGATTTCAACCAGTCATTTTTATGTAGATTGAGTCAAATTGACTACCATCTACTGAACCAGAGAGTTGGTTTTGGTCAGTCTAGATTATGTATGTTAGCCATATAGTTTTGTTAAAATCTCATACAAGAGTATGATATGCCTTGCTGAATATTAAAGGTGATATTTTGGTAGAAAAATATAAGTATTTTCTTTACTGTGCCTAACGTACCCACCCCAGTGTCCTGCTGAGCTACCAGTGGCTTATTCCTGCTGTATAGAACAAGGCACTAAAAATACTAAATTTTGTAGCAAAAACTCATGAAATTCAAATCACCTAGTGGATTTCAGGCTGATAAACAGCCACCTCAGGGGAAAATCCCAACTCAGTTCGATAATCCTTACCCCCTGAGTTTTGCAAGTTACATGATGTTATATGACATAATCTATGAAAATGATTTTTGTTGGTGCTATTTATATTGCCATCCCTTATTCTACATATCAGTTCAATATTATATAGATTCTCAATTATTTAAGGCCATACATGCGGAGGGTACTCGTACAACCTTCCTCCGAGGTCAAGGTCTCTCTACAACTCAAGGTCACTCACTCTCAAGGCCGCACATGCGGAAGTTACTCGTTCAACCTTCCTTCGAGGTCACTTCATCTCGCCCCAAGATTGCCACGTTCTCCACGATCCACTTCGTCATTCATCTCTTCTTTTTCTACGTGAATTTCATGATGTATGGTTTTGATTCAATCAAAAACTTCAGAATGTGAAAAATATTCAAAAACTTGTGGAATTATTGTTACCACATCTCATCGATTATAAAAATATCAGTCGAGTATAAATCACCATTTCACTGTTTTGAACCGTTCTAGAAAAACTTTTAGTCGCGTTTCAGATCGTAATCCACTGATAATGTGTGAATCAATTATGTTCAGTATTAGCAGTTTAATTTTTTTTTTTATTCAGTAAGCCTCAGTGAGTCTTGGAAATTGAGGTCAATTTGCACGTTCTGTAAATACTTATTGGAAATAATATATGGTTTCCAGATATTTCTAATGTTTTCCTCGAATTCAATTGATGCTCAATAATCACACTGAAATAAATGATATTTCGATACGGATGGGTTAACGATTGATTTTACAGGTAGATTTTCATACAGAAATCCACTCACTGGATCATGGTTCATACAAGAGTTATGTAAAAATATCAATACTTATGGAAAACGTGACGACGTCATCAGCCTACTGACGAGAACTGCCAAATGCGTGAGTGGAAACTATTATCATGAAGGGCATCTTCCCTATGAGAAGCAGATGCCGATATTTATATCTACACTTTCGAAAAAGTTTTACTTGAATAGAAACAAAGACAGGGACCATTTGCTCAAAACCGTTGAGAATTATCAGAAGACAGTTGAAGAGTTGGAAATGATTAAACACAACTTAAAAACTTTACTGAGAGATAAATGAGATGATCATTTATTTGCAGATCACAAACATCTGAGTTGATTCACTGAAACTATGAAATATTGAATAATCAATGATAAATAGCAAGCATGTGTCCAAATTAACTACAAATAAATTTTATTTTCTTATTTTTCTGTTGATATTTTATTTCCAGTTATTTATATAACTTCGATAAAATGCAGTCATATTCAGGTGAGGCACATTTTCCAGCAGAATGAAGAACTTGTGAAAATGAGTAAGTTATTTCTCAAGGAATCGCCTGAATTGCAATATACCGGAGATTTAATGATCCAGAATCTGAGAGGTAAGGGCGCATGTTTATAATGATGGACCTGAAACTTGCTCATCTTATGGAAAAAATATTCATGAAATCAATTGACGACACGAATATCGATATAGATTCAGTTCAAGGGGATCCTATTTGTCTTGATGCAAGATATTCGAAATTTGCAGGGAGAGAAAGACATGCTGTAACAACTTTCCATTTTCGAATGGAACACCCTATATTTGGTTCCATAATCGGTTAGTGATTGTGAATACAGACCAAGCAATACCAAGTTTGATCGAGATTTCTCACACGAATATATAACTGATTGATTTTTCAATTTGCTCCATCGGTAGTATGGGACGCAAAGGTCGTATAGAGTCAATAACTCTGCCAGCAGAAATTTATCCGTCATAATAATGGAGTATGTTAGGACATCAAACATCTATATTTCTGTAGCCGTTGGAGATAACCTCATCTAACAATGTATTGTTGGATTCGTTATCATAATCCCTAACAAGTTATGGAATAAAATACGAGGTGTTCAATTTGAAAATCGTATATTGATGCTCGTTTCGCTTCAAGGTTTCAACTTTGGGATATGAAAAAAATAGGAATATTTGTTCCCGTCAGACTGAAATCGAACCACCGATTGATATGAACCATTAATCATCTTTCATCAATGAATCTACTGAATTCAATCTTCAAGATAAGCAGGGTATTTTTTAAGGTAAGGCACGATTTTCGAGTTCGACTCAACAAAGAAGACCAGGGACGAAAGGAAGGGAATGGAGACGTTCAGAACGCTGTGCTTAGAGTATCTAAACAATCCGGTTTTGTAGCTAACGTCGCTCTGATCAAGTCACGAACGATAAAACTTACTGCAGGTTTGAACTGATTCTACTTTTCCTAATGAGCGCTTGGGATTTAGCTTTTGAATTGAGACTAAGTTGATGATCGCGACATCCATTTTGTGACTATAAGTTTCTGACAAAATGAAAAGACGGCACTGTGCGTGTGGAACTGAAAAAAAATTGTCGAATGTAGAACGTAAAATGACACTATATTCAAAATAATAAATAATAAAACTTGATCATCTCATGGCATAAACATTCAAGAAATCAATTTCCATTGCGAACATTGATAGCTATGAATTTGGTTCATGAATATCCTGATATGCAAGATATTTGTAATTTCGAAAAGAGTATATGACATAATTATTATCTAAACTTGTATCACCAGTCAAAAACCATATAGTTTCAAACACACAAAAAGCATAGTTCATCATACTGGAGAATAGTGGGTCAGATTTCGGTAAAAATTATTGTGCTAATAATGATAAAAGCATGAAATGCTCAGGAATAGTTCAGTATATAGTTCTTAGTGATTTAGAATGAGCAAGCCCTGGAACAGTTGATTAAAAGCATAATGGCGGATTTTTCAATAAGGATCAAATTCAACACAGGTGAACGGTCATTACAATTGTATTTTTCATTATGAAAACGTGGAATTCCCAGAAATTGTTCAGTATCTAGTCCTGAAAGATTTTAGATAAAAAGGTCCTGACAAAATTTATGTAAAAACTAAATGGCGGCCTTGTCAATTGATTCAAAATGTAATGTAACACAAATGACCAGTCGTATCAATACACAGAGAAAAACGGTCCAGGTACACAAGTACACTTGAGTAAAATTTAATACCCACAAATATATTAATGAACTTTTGTACCATTACAATAGGTGAAATTTTTTTCCTGATATCGACTTCCAGTGGTAGGTTAACTATGCTCCTGGAACAGGCCATCTTTCTTGTGCTTGATTAATTTTTATCGATGTGTTTAATACTCAGTATACAACAATCCACCTAACATTAATATAATTGTCCCTCAATCCTTGTTCTCTATGAGTGAAAAGAATAATTCTGCCATCATTACCAGTTTAATAACAACAGGTAACAGTTCACTCGATTTCTCTGTTTCGTCATCATTCGGCTAGTTTCGAATACCCACGATTACGCCACGAGCTGATTGCGCAACTCTTCTGCACTTCATTCCATTAATGAACTCAGTCTGTATATGTAGTAAGAATATGTACCTTTGGTGTTTGCGAACACTTATGCGTGCCTTTTTCTATCCTGGAACATTTGTGTTGTGCATGTAAGTTGAATGATTGTGACTATTCCAAAAACATTGATCCCAGTGAAATCATCACTATGGAGCGACTAGCCCCAGGTCGTGAGTTGAAAAAGAGAAGCAGCATAAGCAGTTCATCGACGACACTTCGAAACAGCAGGGTTTGGCGTAGTTTACGCAAAACTCTTCTTTCATTCTTGGTGAGTAATATACCATTCCTTTTTCTCCGTGCAACAAGAAATCATTTTGCGCACACACGTTTTTTAGTGATATGTTTTCCTCCTTCCGAAAATTATTCTGAACCCTCTAGTTCCTTATGTTGGTTGATCATTCGCAATTGATTGTTACATCTGATATTATATGTCCGTTTTATTCGTGGTTCGTGCCATTTATTTTACATTTGAAGAGGTTATATTTTGAAAATATCTCCTATTTTGATTGTGACCTCTCAATATTTTCATCGAATGTGCTCTATGGTGTCGATGTCTCAGTAGGAAGTCACTTGTTAAGTAGTTCAAATTTTGTTGAAGATTAAAGAAATATATAATCTCAGAAAAATAAATGAATCGATCTCAAGTTATTACCGAAACATAGGAGTTTTTATAGTTATATTTCACAAAAGCCGAGAAATAAATTGAGAAATATCAAAATGAAAAGACTCTCTACTGTGAATGTTTGCAAAAAAATCTTATTTCTGATAGTAGGTACACGGGAAAAAATTACAGGAAACGAATCTTGATTTTTCTTATTCGGTGTCCCTGGATTTGAGTCAAAGTAGAGTTTTATAAAGAATGGCCTTACTTGGATGGGCTCACGGGACGTTCGCTACCTATTAAGAGTTTATTCTTTCGATGAATCTCTTGAAATAGGATTATTTCTTTGAATTTTCAAGAAAATAATAGGAGAAATTTAACACATTATATAGAGGGATTTTTAAATTTCAGGGTGCTGATGGTAATGATGTACCTGATTGGAACTTGATGCCACTTGATCTAAATTCAAGTGGACCTAGTACCCTCGCGGCCCGCAGATACTCCATCAACGTCTGGAATATATTTGTATATGAGTCAGTTCGACAGCTATTGTATATTGAGAATAATCATTTCAAGTTCATTTATTTATGTAGTTTGTACTGAAATTACAAATGACTAAAATATATTATATAATGTCGTACCTATATTTTGTACAATGTTTTTCCTCTTCTATAGAGTCACCATCCCCATAGTGTGATACCTTGAAAATATGAAATATTTCTTGCTCCAATATTCAACAATAAGCACATATCCAAATTGAACGATATGCGACAGCTTTCAAAAATTGATTCTGTAATGTTGATAAATGATGAACAGTTAACCAAAAATAATACCAAATGATTTGATTTTTCCCATTTATCAGTTTTTGTTATTCAGGAATAAATGTCTATGGGTCTGCATCATCTAAATGATCATTCCGATTCATGATTTTCAATGTTTTTCACGGGTGCACTTGATACTCGTAGACAATATATCTTTAATTTTTTTTATATCCAGGCCATTGAAAATCAGTAATCAGAATGATCGTTTCTGAACTCCTTTTTCAGGTATGCACATTGAACATCCCCAATATTTCAATTGAATTGCACATCTGAGATAATTAAATTATGTTCCAGAGACGAGTAATTTATGATCCGAGGACAACTTAATAATGTTTCTGGAATAATTGTATTCTTCAATGGTAGTAATTAAAGGATGTACCTAACATCAGTTAGATATATCTCAGAGAATATCACCTATTTTTCTGCAACAGCATGCTTCTTCACCTGTGGCAACTATATAGTATTGAAAATTTATTAAACTATTGAATAACTATCATCGAAGTGTGCACCTACAACAGGTGAAGAAGTCTGTAAGATAATATAGCAATATTTCAAAGGGAATTACCTAATGTTCGATGGTGATTGAACTGTCTAATCAATGTTATTCAACACTTCAATAATCCTGAGTTGATTTCAAATCTATTCGTGTTGAAAAGGAATATTCTCAGATAAATTATGAACATACAAAAATGGATATATATTTATATAAAGCAATACATTGAGAATTCGCATTCTCTATGTGATGAGAATATTTACTCTTTTTCAGTTAATTCAATAGAAAACAACTACTTTCCTGGCTATATGCCACGACGAACATTGAATTATATCTATTGAACACACACGATAAGAGTTTGAAAATAAAATATAAAAATTTCTGAAATTGAGAATTTGCATTCTCCTTCAGACAAAAATATGTATATACACATATTCTGAATATTCAACAGAAAACAACTACTTTCCTGGCTATTTGCCACGTCGAACATTGAATTATATCTGATGAACATTCAAAAGGGGACGATCAATGAACTATATAATTGAGTGTCTGTTGCAGGTATACCAATTCAGGTAAAATATTTCATCTACCACTATCATACTGTATATCTGTCCCATATAGTATTCAAGTTTTTAACTGTGACTATTGAATGTTTAATAACCATTATTAACACGTTAACTGCCAAGCGACCGCCGGCGGCCAATTCATGAGTTTCTCGACACCCCGTGTCTAATTCTACGAGGAATTCCTAGGGCCCCAAGTGTAACTATGGCAGAACAAATCGTTTAAAAATTTTGAAAAAAAAACATACACACTTTTCAGTATTCCTGATTTCAAAAATGACATTTTTGACAATTGGTTGCCGGCGACCAACTGGCGCTCTGTTG